GGTCACGTAACGACACAAAACTGAAGATGGTTAAGAGATGGGTCGCCGCCCATGGGTAGGACGGCCTTGAGTTAGCAGCACTTCGTCCCTAAAGTTGGAGGTTCGAGGGCCCTCGGATCCTTTTGTGCCTTAGCTCTAATACCTTTCTATTCTAGCGTCCGAGCTCCCTCTCACGGTAGGAAGATATGAGTTACGAATGTTACGAGTCACCCTAACCTAAATACACCTAGCATTGCATGCCCTATTTCACGGAAGCCGAGGTTCTACATAGGTACACATCCGTGCACCGTGTAAGTGAGTTAAACGTGGTCTAAACCTGAGATATCGTAGACTTCCACAAGCACATGGATATTAGTTAACACCTCGCATGTTGTAAATTGCATATTAGCACAATGGTAGATGGAAAATATCTGATTTAACAAATGGCACAATTCATATAAGTACATAAAATACTTTACCCGACACCACAGTGGTTGAATCTAACACACAAACACAAAGCTAAACTCTATGAATACAACTCAAAATACAATAATCCCACCACCAACAAGCTTTAACAATCAACAAGTGACGCCAAGCCCCCAAATCCAACACATCCTCCGAAAATTACAAAAAAAATATCGACAGGTGGTGATGGCGGTGGCTCATGTCCCCAGAATCTCCAACTACTTGACCGGTTGCATCCGACGTTGAAAAATACAGGGTATTTAAAGGGATATAGACATCTCATATTTAAAAAAAGAGGGGGTGAAACATATGTGCTTTGAAGCACCATGGATATTGCAGGTGTCGTACTGTATGTCACATATAGACTAGAGATGTTATTGAAAATGTGCCACATCTGCAGGATAGGTGCCCTCTGTAGCTCTTTAATGAGTGTGGTACTCCAAACCATAAAATCAACTAAAGAATGCAATCTCATGCACTCGACCTCAATGCAACAACTGTACTCCCATGATGGTTATCCAATCTTCCAAGGATGGAAGCTGGAAACGCTCCGTTAACAATGCATTATCATATCCTTCTTATCTTTTATCTGAAACAGCCAGAGCAGGAATGTGACTGTGGAATCTGTTAACTGACTTTGGTATAATATGGCAACAATAATTCTGGATGAATCTTGCATTAAAATGACTAAGAAATGGGAACATAAAGGACTAAAAAGTATTCAAGTTAAATATAATTTCGTAAAAGAACATCAGTGCAAGGGAACATGTAGCAGATCTTGCATGTGAATTATATACAAATCATGTGTCAGTTTAGGTTAAATTCCCACATGTTAAGATTAAGTTTTATAGTCGTATGTAATTCTATTGCATTTTATTACCTCTGCATTTATTTGTGTATTCAAATATAGTGTGAAAGGGAGCGTTAGGATGAATGCACCCTCACTATTGATGTGAGCATACAATTATGTATAACTAAGCTGCTAACTTTTAAGTTGATAAGATGTATTTTTCATAAATGTAATTATGTACATTTTTTGTTATACTTAATAAATCACACTAAGGTATTGTTCTTCCACTGATAATAACAAAAATATCATTATCAACACTACACAGTGCACTCCCAATGCCACCCAGTCCTTGACACATTAATTATTATGTTTTAAAAGATGTCGTTTTAAGAGATGTTTATTATTAGTCCCATATTCACAAGTAGCACATTTAAAATCATTAGAAAGTTTATGTTTTAAAAGATGTCGTTTGAAGTGGTGTTTATCGTTTGTTCCATAATCACAATCAACACACTTAAAATCCTTCACAACTTTATGTTTTAAAAGGTGTTGTCTTAAGTTGCCTTTATCATTTGTCCCATAATCACAGACAGTACATTTAAGATCCTTCGTAACTTTATGTATTAAAAGATGTCGTTTTAAGAGATGTTTCTTATTTGTCCCATAGACACACGTAGCACATTTAAAATCCTTCGAAACTTGATGTTTTAAAAGATGCCGTTTTAAGTAGCTTTTATAATTTGTCCCATAATCACAATCAGCACAATTAAAATCTTTGGAACCTTTATGTATTAAAAGATGTTTATTGAAAAGGTGTTTCCTATTTGTGCCATAATTACAAGAAGCACATTTAAAATCATTAGAAACTCTATGTTTCAAAAGATGTTGTCTTAAGTTGCCTTTATCATTTGTCCCATAATCACAATCAGCACATTTAAGATCCTTCGTCACATTATGTATTAAAAGATGTCGTTTGAAGTGGCCTTTATCATTTGTCCCATAATCACAATCAGCACATTTAAAATCCTTACAAACTTTATGAGTTAAAAGATGTTGTTTAAAGTTGCTCTTATGATTTGTCCCATAGTCACAAATAGCACATTTAAGATCCTTCGTAACTTTATGTATTAAAAGATGTCGTTTGAAGTGGCCTTTATCATTTGTCCTATAATCACAATCAGCACATTTAAAATCATTAGACACCGTCCTACATGGGGTTACAAGGTGATGTTGAAAGTCAGAGTGTTGCTGTACTTCTTCATCAGCAAGCGATTCAGAACAGGGTGCACTAATGCTAACTTCATCCTTTATTGTCACCAAAACTTCGTTGCTTACTGAAATGCGTTCCTGAAGAAAGGAGTGGATTTCCTCTTCTTGTTTTGGTTCAAGTTTAATAAGTAGTGTGTCATTATCTCCCTCCATACCTAACAAAAACCATGTTAAAAATCTGTTCTGATGTATCAAAAATCTACCTACTTCGATATTAAACAATACAATGCAACCAGGCATTACTTATGTTCTGAGTAACACCATTTGTTGAACAAGAGTTACACCATGCCACCAGTATATTAGATATAATAATAATTATATTGTAATGGGGTTTACGGTGTGTACACACATTCCTTAATCCCTAGGGAATGTACATACATCCCATAATTGAGGAAGGAAAAGTTGGCCAACATCGTAGAAAAATGTGCACATTGACCGGTTAATATGCACATTCGCTTGTAGCTTGGGCTGATGGCCAACTCCAAATGCTAGATGCTAAAGGTGTTAAAATACTATTTAAAAAAAGGAAGTGGCCACTGGTAGTCCTCAGATATTGGACTAATACAAACTGTATTATTCTTTCAATGGTAATAAAGTGATCAACAACTTCTAATGCTCAGTGGAAGTTATCTCTGTTAACTTCAATGAAATATACATTTTATTATGGAGCCTTGCTCTTATGTTTATAAATTTTAACGTAAAAGCAAATGTATAAAAAAGGTATTACCTCTAATACTAAGGATTATACACACCAACTGTACAAAATTCACATAAATCTATTATTACTTATTACACCCTCTTTAAATGACAAGTGAAGATAGCAATTCTCATGTCTACTTAACCCATATGCAGTGTTGCCAAACCATAGTGAGTATAGTTAATTGAACACGCTTCGCGCGTTTTCCCCTTAAGCCCGTTTGTAACGATCACTTTTAGTCAAATTTTTAGTCCTTTTTTTCTTCAATAAAGATAATGCTATCCTAAAAATATCATAAATGATGAAACTGTATGTAACATTCTATAATATTGTCAATTTTTTAGTACCTGTAAAATGTAAACATTTGTACATAACGTATTTTATATTAAATCTGGAGACTAAATATTTATCTTCTATAAACTAAGGTCTCTATCTACTGTCAACGTATTATAGTGAGCTTTAAAAATGAATATAAATTTAATTTTTATTTTACAAATTCCCTATAATCTGTCAAAAGTTACCAAAAAATTGATCAAAGTTGATGTATCAAATGTTTAATTTTTTTGTTCCTAAAAAAATTATTTAAAAATTGACAAAATAAGGGATCGTTACAAACGGGCTTTAGAGAAAGAAAGATAGAGGAGGGATAAAAGATGATCGTAAAGTGTTAGCTCTGTTTGCCACCCATAACATGACTGCCTAACAGTCATTTTTCGTAGGTTTAAAGCAGCAACCGTTCCGTACCATTTGCATAAAATAACAACAAAGACAACTTATATGCTTACAATCACGCACGACCGAAAATGCAAACATCTGCACGACATAAATAAGAATTCAAAAAGCTTGGTTTGTTACCAAGCTATGCTTCAATCCTCAGCATTGCATTTGATTGGGTATATTACGGGTCCCCTCCTTCCATAGTCTAAGGTTTTCTCTTATTAACGCATGCTTTATTATGATTGCTACGCATGCGCATTTAAATATTTTAATTAAAGTAACCTTAATAAAAGAGAGTTAACGCAAGTGCCTCTGATGATATCGTCTACTTTGTTAGTGATCCTTTAATAAATAAACTAAGCTTTAATAAGTATAACAAGATTTTATTTTTAAGTTAGCGCACTGAGAAATAGAAACACGAATAACGACAAGCGGTGGTATGTCATTTAATATAACCTTACTTATAATTAAATATGTCATACTTATTTACAAATTTTTGCAACATACTTTTTAAATGTTGTTTCAATGTTTTTATTGGAAAATTTTTCCCAGTTGCGGTAGCTATATTGTTTTGGATTTCTTTCCAATTTAACTTTATTTTGTGCCACAATTTTTTTCAAAAGACACTTCATCGTCCCAAAGTGAAACGCAATCTTTTCTTACGATTTAAGACATAATTAAGAAAACAAATTCGTTGATTCAAATCACCGCAAAGAATATATTTTATGTTAAAATAAGTTTAAAATAAACAGTGATATTGTATAATTTGTAATTATAGACCGATTTCTCGAAACCATTTATTATAATCACTAATGACGAAACTGACGTAACGCCTATGTATAGTCATAAAGATTTTTTGTGCGCGCCACTGGATATACGTTACCATTTGAATTTTATTGACATTTCAGATTTCAAAATGAAAAACTGCAACGGAAAGGAAGAGAGGATGGTGAATTTGAATGAAAATTTAAAAAAGGGTATTTGTGTACATTTGTGAGATTTGTTTGCATTTAAATTGTTTGTTGCTACAGATACAAATATGGAACGGACCGATACAATAAGGAAATCTGCGAAACGTAAACCACCAGTTATTCGACAAACTTTAACTAGCATGTACAGATTCGCAAAAGCAAATCCTTTATTATTTGTAGAAGATGCGACAGTCAACAAAATTTCGATGAAAAACACAGATTTAAGTACAGCTAAATTTCCGAAGCCTGTTTCAAAACCTTCCAAAGGAATCAAACCTACTACTGTAAATAATAACCTTCCATCTAAAGCGAACGCTGAAAAAACAAAATCTAGTCTTAAGCAACCAGTGAAACCTTTTACAATAAACACACAACTCAAAAAACCCAACGGAGATGTTCTACGACCTACAAAAGGTGTCGGCCAGAAGGTGAGGTTTGCCGACAGGCTTAAGCGAAGATCTCGTTCGGCCGACAGTTACGACCAACACTCGGCGGTCAGCTGTAAGCAAATGGCCAGCACAAGTTCCTTGACGAGCGTTCACAAGAATGACGATCTAAAAAACCTATCCCCAATTGCTCACGAACGCAAAGTAAAGTTTCGAACACCGGTACGACAGAGCCAAAACTTTACAAGTAACACGCCGTTCCTCAAAAGACACTCCACTCCCTACGCCCATAACGCCGGCCACCATTCGGTGAGCGATCTGCAAGAGAGATTAAAGGAGTGGATGCGTAAACGAAAAATTAGTTCCAATAATTTTCATCATTTGAAGTGTTTCGGTCTTCACAAGAAACATCTCGAGGGCGGAGATGACGATAAGGAAAATGTCGAGACTGATCCCGTACGTACGAGCTACGACGATTTGCGAATTGATACGCCCATTGCTGTGTACACGAAGTCCGAGGATTTGAAGACCGTTGTGCAGAATTGCTTGGAGGATCTGCATAAGCTAATTTTGGAAGTGAGTTAAATCAAAATGGGGTTTTAGCAGTATTTTTCGTGAAAATTATGTGCACGAAAAAAATTGTAGGGGGTGTTCAAAAATTGAAGTTCAAATTTTTTTATCAAAAAAAGTATTGTTCCCATTTCTGGACATATACAGGGTGATTCCTATAGTACCTGCCACCGTTTGGGAGCGTGTAGGTGGTGCGTAGGGGAGTATTTTGATATAGGACACTTGGGGTCGGAAATCTAAAATAAGGGTGCCAGAGCCAAATTTACCTTCTGGAATTTCGCGCCTGTAGGTAGGCAACCCAACCGGCCGGCGGTGCACACGGAGCGATCTCAGGCGGCGATGTGTGGCTGACACTTGATCAGAATTTTGTTTAAACCCACGAAATCCCGTCTGCAACGACGCGTATCAAGTGAATAAACACTATGGCAATAGTATAATAATAGTTGGCTAGATGTAGGAAGTGCATTGAGAACAACGGTGGCCACGTTGAACACTTGTAAACGTTATTGCTTTTGACTGTCGTTTTCCCTCCTTCCCTCCCATGTCGCTTCCTCGCGCTAACTCGCTCTGCATCGCTCCGCGCGAAACGTCGGTCGGTTGGGTTGCCTACATACAGGCGTGAAATTCCAGAAGATAAATTTGGTTCTGGCGCCCTTATTTTAGATTTCCGACCCCAAGTGTCCTATATCAAAATACTCCCCTAGGCACCCCCTACACGCTCCCAAACGGTGGCAGGTACTATAGGAATCACCCTGTATACAGGTTGTTTCATGCGAACCGTTACCTAAAAGTAGCTATCTATTCCTGCGCTCATTGATAATTTAAATCTGGAAATTTGCATCCCAACATGATCTATCGAAAGAAAATATTATCATACGCTTCATTTCCGGTTTTACCTACTTTATTATTGTAACTAGAACATTCCGTATTTTATTGCATCTACATAAAATCTACTTCGTTTGATACGAAACTTCCCTATACCCAGTATCAAGGGTTTTCAAGTTATTCAAGATTTTTTAAAATTTTTAACACTAGTATTAACTTGACTGAGCGCCGGCACATTCTAATGATGTTTATATTATGTCCTTGACGAATATTTTTGAAGACAGGTGGATTGGACCTAGAGGTCCGTGGCATTGGTCTCCTAGGTACACACATTTTTTGTTAACTAACTTATAACTTATATGTTTTTTACGGATTTATGAAATGTTCGCGATTTTTTAAAATATTTTTTTAAGAGCTATTATCATCGTTTCCATTTGGTGTATAACTTATTTTCTCAAAAAAAAAACATTTAAAATTGGTACCGCAAGAAGTATCGCAACAGCGCCTGAGGCGCTGCTGTACTCGGAATTATTAGTGAAGCTTCAATGTTGTAATAATAATTTGTTATGGTATTGCAGATCTGTAGTAATTTGATTAATCTTCTACAGATAGAAGCTCTGCGCTTTTTTGGAACTCTTCTTCATTATAGGGCTATCATATGGCTTATCGTACCAAGACATCTGGTAATCAAATTAAATTAGAATTGGAGTCATGCTAATTAATTGAAAAATCATTGAAATGGCAAAGAATCAAACTGGTTCTTACATTGTAACACGGCATCTAGATTCTAAATAATACAAGCACAGGAACACTATAATGTTTAACAGACGACGAGGTGCCTAAGATGGCGGAGGGTGTCCCGGTTCTACTACCGAAAAAAAGTCTTCAACTCCAGATAACACTACATTTTTTTGTAGTGGAATGAAGAATTAT